CTCTCGTCAAGCTCGCTCCCGACGGTGCCCTGGAGCTTGGCATCCGGCAGCTTGGACCATTTGATGCTCTTTAATGGATTCGTGGGCTGTGGCACGTTATTCTTTGGCAGTTCCACCTTGGGTGACACAGGATCTGCAGGCAAAGGATAGAAATTAATTTATGTGGCGCTCCTTGGCTTAACTTAACTCTGTACTCACCCATTGCTGGCGTCATCTACGGTGGCGAAGGCAGTGCACCCGGCGGTGGTGGTGGCATCATGGCCGGCGCCATTTTTGGCGGTGGCGGTGGCGGCATTATGGCCGGCGCCATTTTGGGTGGCGGCATTATGGCCGGCGCCATTTTGGTGGTGGCGGCGATATGGCCATGACCATGGCCGAGGGGCGGCGGCGGCGGTGGCTACACAGCTCCATTGCAGCCAGTCAGACCGGCCACCTTCTGGGCATCGGGTATGCTGCCCTCGGTGACCAGATGCTCGAGACGGGCCGCTTCTGCTGCTCAATAAGCAACCGATGATACCGATCTACAAAAGTTGTGAAAAATAACTGTCACTTTTCGATAATAGTAGTAAAAAAAAATAGCTGGTCAGCACAAAAAAGTTATGAAAAACAACACTAATTTTTCGATATTAAAGTAGTGAACATTAGCTGGTCACACTACAAAAAAGTTATGAAAAACGACACTAATTTTTCGATATTAAAGTAGTGAACCTTAGCTGGTCACACCTCCATGCTGCATATGGCGGCTCCATGTCAGCTGATCGTCGACCTTATTATTATTATTATTAACATACCTAACCATCCTCGCCGAACAGACGCACGGCGTGATCGAAGCGGGTCTTCATGTCCTGGAACTTGTCCTCCAGCTCCGCAAAGTGGACCGATGCCGAGGCGTGGAACTCCCGCATGAAGGGCAAAGTTCGATTGAACTCGATTTTGCGTGCCACATCCGCCAGGCCGGTGAGCAGCATCTGGATGTCCATGTCCATGTCCATCTCGCCCAGCGACACCTTGGAAGCCTCACGGGCATGCGGAATGTGATCCTCCAGCTCCAGTGGATCCTTGAATTTACTCTCGATTACCTGGACGAGATATTGCAGCAGGGTGGTGCCCTTGGCGGCACTGGACTTGGTGTCGGCCACGCGCCCTGCGGTTCATGTAGTTGTCTGTAGTATTTAAGAATGCACTTAAATAGTGAAAATAAATGAAAAAGTGAATGCATAGATTACCCATAGCCAGAATCAGCTCAAGGAGCTTTCGCAGACGTCGGGAACTAGCCACTACGCGGTACGCCTCTATTACACTGGCGATGCGGTGTATAAGATCGTTGACCGTCGGCATAAAGCGCTTCCTGTAGTGGAGACTCTTCAGCCTTTACTCGTAGTGGGGAATCCTGCCAGGACAAAAGAACAAATAGTTTAGTGACTGCCAAATCTCTTCGATGCCCTTCAAACCCACTTTGATATTTCGTAAAGGAAGCGATCGGCGCGGGCCAGTGACTCAATATCCTCTTTATGCTCATCCAACAGTGCATGTTTCTCCACCACGGGCGTAAACTTTAGCAGCTGCTCGTTGCTGTCCATCGAGAAAATGGCCCTAGAAGAGAAGAGATTAGTATTTGGAACCAGGACGTGACTAAAGCAACTCCTACTCGCTCATCTTCAGCTTGCTGAGCAGGACGGTGCAGTTCTGGGCCGGCGTCATCGATCACTGAGAGCACCTTCTGCTTGGCTGGCTTGCCGCCAGTTCCTCATCGGTGGCCTGTGGAAAGAGAAGAGAGCATTAAATAAAGGAAGGTCTTTCAGTGGAATCCCCTAGACACTCACCGATACCCCATTCTTTTGATAAGCCGACAAGAGCTTGTTTATCGACTCCAAATCCATGTTATACAGCTTGCTCTCGTCAAGCTCGCTCCCGACGGTGCCCTGGAGCTTGGCATCCGGCAGCTTGGACCATTTGATGCTCTTTAATGGATTCGTGGGCTGTGGCACGTTATTCTTTGGCAGTTCCACCTTGGGTGACACAGGATCTGCAGGCAAAGGATAGAAATTAATTTATGTGGCGCTCCTTGGCTTAACTTAACTCTGTACTCACCCATTGCTGGCGTCATCCACGGTGGCGAAGGCAGTGCACCCGGCGTGGTGGTGGCATCATGGCCGGCGCCATTTTGGCGGTGGCATTATGGCCGGCGCCATTTGGGTGGCGGCATTATGGCCGGCGCCATTTTGGTGGTGGCGGCATTATGGCCGGCGCCATTTTGGTGGTGGCGGGATATGGCCATGACCATGGCCGAGGGCGGCGGGCGGCGGTGGCTACACAGCTCCATTGCAGCCAGTCAGACCGGCCACCTTCTGGGCATCGGGTATGCTGCCCTCGGTGACCAGATGCTCGAGACGGGCCCGCTTCTGCTGCTCAATAAGCAACCGATGATACCGATCTACAAAAAGTTGTGAAAAATAACTGTCACTTTTCGATAATAGTAGTAAAAAAAAATAGCTGGTCACAGCACAAAAAGTTATGAAAAACAACACTAATTTTTCGATATTAAAGTAGTGAACATTAGCTGGTCACACTACAAAAAAGTTATGAAAAACGACACTAATTTTTCGATATTAAAGTAGTGAACCTTAGCTGGTCACACCTCCATGCTGCATATGGCGGCTCCATGTCAGCTGATCGTCGACCTTATTATTATTATTATTAACATACCTACCATCCTCGCCGAACAGACGCACGGCGTGATCGAAGCGGGTCTTCATGTCCTGGAACTTGTCCTCCAGCTCCGCAAAGTGGACCGATGCCGAGGCGTGGAACTCCCGCATGAAGGGCAAAGTTCGATTGAACTCGATTTGCGTGCCACATCCGCCAGGCCGGTGAGCAGCATCTGGATGTCCATGTCCATGTCCATCTCGCCCAGCGGACACCTTGGAAGCCTCACGGGCATGCGGAATGTGATCCTCCAGCTCCAGTGGATCCTTGAATTTACTCTCGATTACCTGGACGAGATATTGCAGCAGGGTGGTGCCCGTGGCGGCACTGGACTTGGTGTCGGCCACGCGCCCTGCGTTCATGTAGTTGTCTGTAGTATTTAAGAATGCACTTAAATAGTGAAAATAAATGAAAAGTGAATGCATAGATACCCATAGCCAGAATCAGCTCAAGGAGCTTCGCAGACGTCGGAACTAGCCACTACGCGGTACGCCTCTATTTACACTGCGATGCGGTGTATAAGATCGTTGACCGTCGGCATAAAGCGCTTCCTGTAGTGGAGACTCTTCAGCCTTTACTCGTAGTGGGGAATCCTGCCAGGACAAAAGAACAAATAGTTTAGTGACTGCCAAATCTCTTCGATGCCCTTCAAACCCACTTTGATATTTCGTAAAGGAAGCGATCGGCGCGGCCAGTGACTCAATATCCTCTTTATGCTCATCCAACAGTGCATGTTTCTCCACCACGGGCGTAAACTTAGCAGCTGCTCGTTGCTGTCCATCGAGAAAATGGCCCTAGAAGAGAAGAGATTAGTATTTGGAACCAGGACGTGACTAAAGCAACTCCTACTCGCTCATCTTCAGCTTGCTGAGCAGGACGGTGCAGTTCTGGGCCGGCGTCCATCGATCACTGAGAGCACCTTCTGCTTGGCTGGCTTGCCGCCAGTTGCCCGCAGATCCTCATCGGAGCTATCGGTGGCCTGTGGAAAGAGAAGAGAGCATTAAATAAAGGAAGGTCTTTCAGTGGAATCTCCCCTAGACACTCACCGATACCCCATTCTTTGATAAGCCGACAAGAGCTTGTTTATCGACTCCAAATCCATGTTATACAGCTTGCTCTCGTCAAGCTCGCTCCCGACGGTGCCCTGGAGCTTGGCATCCGGCAGCTTGGACCATTTGATGCTCTTAATGGATTCGTGGGCTGTGGCACGTTATTCTTTGGCAGTTCCACCTTGGGTGACACAGGATCTGCAGGCAAAGGATAGAAATTAATTTATGTGGCGCTCCTTGGCTTAACTTAACTCTGTACTCACCCATTGCTGGCGTCATCTACGGTGGCGAAGGCAGTGCACCCGGCGGTGGTGGTGGCATCATGGCCGGCGCCATTTTGGCGGTGGCGGCATTATGGCCGGCGCCATTTTGGCGGTGGCGGCATTATGGCCGGCGCCATTTTGTGGTGGCGGCATTATGGCCGGCGCCATTTTGGTGGTGGCGGCGATATGGCCATGACCATGGCGAGGGCGGCGGCGGCGGCGGTGGCTACACAGCTCCATTGGAGCCAGTCAGACCGGCCACCTTCTGGGCATCGGGTATGCTGCCCTCGGTGACCAGATGCTCGAGACGGGCCCGCTTCTGCTGCTCAATAAGCAACCGATGATACCGATCTACAAAAAGTTGTGAAAAATAACTGTCACTTTTCGATAATAGTAGTAAAAAAAAAAATAGCTGGTCACAGCACAAAGAAGTTATGAAAAACAACACTAATTTTTCGATATTAAGTAGTGAACATTAGCTGGTCACACTACAAAAAAGTTATGAAAAACGACACTAATTTTTCGATATTAAAGTAGTGAACCTTAGCTGGTCACACCTCCATGCTGCATATGGCGGCTCCATGTCAGCTGATCGTCGACCTTATTATTATTATTATTAACATACCTAACCATCCTCGCCGAACAGACGCACGGCGTGATCGAAGCGGGTCTTCATGTCCTGGAACTTGTCCTCCAGCTCCGCAAAGTGGACCGATGCCGAGGCGTGGAACTCCCGCATGAAGGGCAAAGTTCGATTGAACTCGATTTTGCGTGCCACATCCGCCAGGCCGGTGAGCAGCATCTGGATGTCCATGTCCATGTCCATCTCGCCCAGCGACACCTTGGAAGCCTCACGGGCATGCGGAATGTGATCCTCCAGCTCCAGTGGATCCTTGAATTTACTCTCGATTACCTGGACGAGATATTGCAGCAGGGTGGTGCCCTTGGCGGCACTGGACTTGGTGTCGGCCACGCGCCCTGCGGTCATGTAGTTGTCTGTAGTATTTAAGAATGCACTTAAATAGTGGAAATAAATGAAAAAGTGAATGCATAGATTACCCATAGCCAGAATCAGCTCAAGGAGCTTTCGCAGACGTCGGGAACTAGCCACTACGCGGTACGCCTCTATTACACTGGCGATGCGGTGTATAAGATCGTTGACCGTCGGCATAAAGCGCTTCCTGTAGTGGAGACTCTTCAGCCTTTACTCGTAGTGGGGAATCCTGCCAGGACAAAAGAACAAATAGTTTAGTGACTGCCAAATCTCTTCGATGCCCTTCAAACCCACTTTGATATTTCGTAAAGGAAGCGATCGGCGCGGGCCAGTGACTCAATATCCTCTTTATGCTCATCCAACAGTGCATGTTTCTCCACCACGGGCGTAAACTTTAGCAGCTGCTCGTTGCTGTCCATCGAGAAAATGGCCCTAGAAGAGAAGAGATTAGTATTTGGAACCAGGACGTGACTAAAGCAACTCCTACTCGCTCATCTTCAGCTTGCTGAGCAGGACGGTGCAGTTCTGGCCGGCGTCCATCGATCACTGAGAGCACCTTCTGCTTGGCTGGCTTGCCGCCAGTTGCCCGCAGATCCTCATCGGAGCTATCGGTGGCCTGTGGAAAGAGAAGAGAGCATTAAATAAATGAAGGTCTTTCAGTGGAATCTCCCCTAGACACTCACCGATACCCCATTCTTTTGATAAGCCGACAAGAGCTTGTTTATCGACTCCAAATCCATGTTATACAGCTTGCTTTCGTCAAGCTCGCTCCCGACGGTGCCCTGGAGCTTGGCATCCGGCAGCTTGGACCATTTGATGCTCTTTAATGGATTCGTGGGCTGTGGCACGTTATTCTTTGGCAGTTCCACCTTGGGTGACACAGGATCTGCAGGCAAAGGATAGAAATTAATTTATGTGGCGCTCCTTGGCTTAACTTAACTCTGTACTCACCCATTGCTGGCGTCATCCACGGTGGCGAAGGCAGTGCACCCGGCGGTGGTGGTGGCATCATGGCCGGCGCCATTTTGGCGGTGGCGGCATTATGGCCGGCGCCATTTTGGTGGGGCGGCATTATGGCCGGCGCCATTTTGGTGGTGGCGGCGATATGGCCATGACCATGGCCGAGGGCGGCGGCGGCGGCGGTGGCTGCACAGCTCCATTGCAGCCAGTCAGACCGGCCACCTTCTGGGCATCGGGTATGCTGCCCTCGGTGACCAGATGCTCGAGACGGGCCCGCTTCTGCTGCTCAATAAGCAACCGATGATACCGATCTACAAAAAGTTGTGAAAATAACTGTCACTTTTCGATAATAGTAGTAAAAAAAAAAAATAGCTGGTCACAGCACAAAGAAGTTATGAAAAACAACACTAATTTTTCGATATTAAAGTAGTGAACATTAGCTGGTCACACTACAAAAAAGTTATGAAAAACGACACTAATTTTTCGATATTAAAGTAGTGAACCTTAGCTGGTCACACCTCCATGCTGCATATGGCGGCTCCATGTCAGCTGATCGTCGACCTTATTATTATTATTATTAACATACCTAACCATCCTCGCCGAACAGACGCACGGCGTGATCGAAGCGGGTCTTCATGTCCTGGAACTTGTCCTCCAGCTCCGCAAAGTGGACCGATGCCGACTCGTGGAACTCCCGCATGAAGGGCAAAGTTCGATTGAACTCGATTTTGCGTGCCACATCCGCCAGGCCGGTGAGCAGCATCTGGATGTCCATGTCCATGTCCATCTCGCCCAGCGACACCTTGGAAGCCTCACGGGCATGCGGAATGTGATCCTCCAGCTCCAGTGGATCCTTGAATTTACTCTCGATTACCTGGACGAGATATTGCAGCAGGGTGGTGCCCTTGGCGGCACTGGACTTGGTGTCGGCCACGCGCCCTGCGGTTCATGTAGTTGTCTGTAGTATTTAAGAATGCACTTAAATAGTGGAAATAAATGAAAAAGTGAATGCATAGATTACCCATAGCCAGAATCAGCTCAAGGAGCTTTCGCAGACGTCGGGAACTAGCCACTACGCGGTACGCCTCTATTACACTGGCGATGCGGTGTATAAGATCGTTGACCGTCGGCATAAAGCGCTTCCTGTAGTGGAGACTCTTCAGCCTTTACTCGTAGTGGGGAATCCTGCCAGGACAAAAGAACAAATAGTTTAGTGACTGCCAATCTCTTCGATGCCCTTCAAACCCACTTTGATATTTCGTAAAGGAAGCGATCGGCGCGGGCCAGTGACTCAATATCCTCTTTATGCTCATCCAACAGTGCATGTTTCTCCACCACGGGCGTAAACTTTAGCAGCTGCTCGTTGCTGTCCATCGAGAAAATGGCCCTAGAAGAGAAGAGATTAGTATTTGGAACCAGGACGTGACTAAAGCAACTCCTACTCGCTCATCTTCAGCTTGCTGAGCAGGACGGTGCAGTTCTGGGCCGGCGTCCATCGATCACTGAGAGCACCTTCTGCTTGGCTGGCTTGCCGCCAGTTGCCCGCAGATCCTCATCGGAGCTATCGGTGGCCTGTGGAAAGAGAAGAGAGCATTAAATAAATGAAGGTCTTTCAGTGGAATCTCCCCTAGACACTCACCGATACCCCATTCTTTTGATAAGCCGACAAGAGCTTGTTTATCGACTCCAAATCCATGTTATACAGCTTGCTCTCGTCAAGCTCGCTCCCGACGGTGCCCTGGAGCTTGGCATCCGGCAGCTTGGACCATTTGATGCTCTTTAATGGATTCGTGGGCTGTGGCACGTTATTCTTTGGCAGTTCCACCTTGGGTGACACAGGATCTGCAGGCAAAGGATAGAAATTAATTTATGTGGCGCTCCTTGGCTTAACTTAACTCTGTACTCACCCATTGCTGGCGTCATCCACGGTGGCGAAGGCAGTGCACCCGGCGGTGGTGGTGGCATCATGGCCGGCGCCATTTTGGCGGTGGCGGCATTATGGCCGGCGCCATTTTGGCGGTGGCGGCATTATGGCCGGCGCCATTTTGGTGATGGCGGCATTATGGCCGGCGCCATTTTGGTGGTGGCGGCGATATGGCCATGACCATGGCCGAGGGCGGCGGCGGCGGCGGTGGCTACACAGCTCCATTGGAGCCAGTCAGACCGGCCACCTTCTGGGCATCGGGTATGCTGCCCTCGGTGACCAGATGCTCGAGACGGGCCCGCTTCTGCTGCTCAATAAGCAACCGATGATACCGATCTACAAAAAGTTGTGAAAAATAACTGTCACTTTTCGATAATAGTAGTAAAAAAAAAAAAATAGCTGGTCACAGCACAAAGAAGTTATGAAAAACAACACTAATTTTTCGATATTAAAGTAGTGAACATTAGCTGGTCACACTACAAAAAAGTTATGAAAAACGACACTAATTTTTCGATATTAAAGTAGTGAACCTTAGCTGGTCACACCTCCATGCTGCATATGGCGGCTCCATGTCAGCTGATCGTCGACCTTATTATTATTATTATTAACATACCTAACCATCCTCGCCGAACAGACGCACGGCGTGATCGAAGCGGGTCTTCATGTCCTGGAACTTGTCCTCCAGCTCCGCAAAGTGGACCGATGCCGAGGCGTGGAACTCCCGCATGAAGGGCAAAGTTCGATTGAACTCGATTTTGCGTGCCACATCCGCCAGGCCGGTGAGCAGCATCTGGATGTCCATGTCCATGTCCATCTCGCCCAGCGACACCTTGGAAGCCTCACGGGCATGCGGAATGTGATCCTCCAGCTCCAGTGGATCCTTGAATTTACTCTCGATTACCTGGACGAGATATTGCAGCAGGGTGGTGCCCTTGGCGGCACTGGACTTGGTGTCGGCCACGCGCCCTGCGGTTCATGTAGTTGTCTGTAGTATTTAAGAATGCACTTAAATAGTGGAAATAAATGAAAAAGTGAATGCATAGATTACCCATAGCCAGAATCAGCTCAAGGAGCTTTCGCAGACGTCGGGAACTAGCCACTACGCGGTACGCCTCTATTACACTGGCGATGCGGTGTATAAGATCGTTGACCGTCGGCATAAAGCGCTTCCTGTAGTGGAGACTCTTCAGCCTTTACTCGTAGTGGGGAATCCTGCCAGGACAAAAGAACAAATAGTTTAGTGACTGCCAAATCTCTTCGATGCCCTTCAAACCCACTTTGATATTTCGTAAAGGAAGCGATCGGCGCGGGCCAGTGACTCAATATCCTCTTTATGCTCATCCAACAGTGCATGTTTCTCCACCACGGGCGTAAACTTTAGCAGCTGCTCGTTGCTGTCCATCGAGAAAATGGCCCTAGAAGAGAAGAGATTAGTATTTGGAACCAGGACGTGACTAAAGCAACTCCTACTCGCTCATCTTCAGCTTGCTGAGCAGGACGGTGCAGTTCTGGGCCGGCGTCCATCGATCACTGAGAGCACCTTCTGCTTGGCTGGCTTGCCGCCAGTTGCCCGCAGATCCTCATCGGAGCTATCGGTGGCCTGTGGAAAGAGAAGAGAGCATTAAATAAAGGAAGGTCTTTCAGTGGAATCTCCCCTAGACACTCACCGATACCCCATTCTTTTGATAAGCCGACAAGAGCTTGTTTATCGACTCCAAATCCATGTTATACAGCTTGCTCTCGTCAAGCTCGCTCCCGACGGTGCCCTGGAGCTTGGCATCCGGCAGCTTGGACCATTTGATGCTCTTTAATGGATTCGTGGGCTGTGGCACGTTATTCTTTGGCAGTTCCACCTTGGGTGACACAGGATCTGCAGGCAAAGGATATAAATTAATTTATGTGGCGCTCCTTGGCTTGACTTAACTCTGTACTCACCCATTGCTGGCGTCATCCACGGTGGCGAAGGCGGTGCACCCGGCGATGGTGGTGGCATCATGGCCGGTGCCATTTTGGCGGTGGCGGCATTATGGCCGGCGCCATTTTGGTGGTGGCGGCATTATGGCCGGCGCCATTTTCGTGGTGGTGGCGGTGTGGCATTGACCATGGCCGAGGGCGGCGGCGGCGGCGGCGGTGGCTACACAGCTCCATTGCAGCCAGTCAGACCGGCCACCTTCTGTGCATCGGGTATGCCTGCCCTCGGCGACCAGATACTCGAGACGGGCCGGCTCCTGCTGCTCACTAAGCAAGCGGTGCTACAGATCTATAAAAATGGCTTTCACTTTTCGATAGTATTAGTGAAAATTAGCTGGCCACACTACAAAAATCTTGTGATAATTGATATGGTCACACCTCCAAGTATAAGTAAGGAAAGGTGAGTTGGTCACACCACAAAAATATAGGTAATCGATAAGGTTGACAAAGGTGCTATTCTAGGTTGAAGCCATGATATTGCCTACAAAAACAACAACTCATTAGTAGCAGCTGCAGCAACAAATACAACACAACAATTTATGATTTACAACATAAACATAAATAAAACATATTATTTGAACTGGCAAATTTGAGTTCAATTTTAAATATAATATAAGATGGCAATTATAATAATAATAACCATAAATTTTTGTTTTGTAATTTTGTGGAAATAGTGCAGCTTCGTTCTGTAGCCCGAAACAATATGCTAAGATTTAATATTGACACAAAATGTTTTGCCACGCGAAAGTGGGCAATGCAAAAAATATGAAGGAGTGGTTGGATTGTCTGTTTATATATTGGTGCATCTTTGGGCTGAATTAATTGTCAGGTGGAAGGGCCAATGCATAGCATACTCTCACGCTGAAGAGCATAGTTTGGAGTACACTGGCTTAATGATTTAGTACCAATATAAACAGTTTGGGAAGCACTGTCGAAAGCTCAATATAGGGGGCCCTAAGAGAGTGCTTTATTTTCGACCGACTCGCTGTTGCCAATTTTTTCAGCCGAAAAGATGCTTTATGATTTTAATAATACATAAATAATTAATAATAAAGCAAGAAAACGTTCTTGTTTAAAAAAGTCAATTGTATATCTATTTGAATAAGTTTATAAATTTTAATTTAATTTAATTCCTAGCCTAACTTTACTTTAAATTTTATTGTATAATTTCAATTTCAATTCAACTTTTTGGCTTTCATGTTCTGGGCTTTGTATATACTATTGCTTCTTTTTCTAGCTATTTATAAATTTTATTCTAAAAGTTTGTGCAGTACATTCTGTTTTAACTTATAATTATTTGCATTTAACTTATATTGTTATTAACTAAAATATTGGCCAGTATAGCCCGCTTGTATAACAGTTTTTCTATGCAGTAGGCCAAGTAACCCATCAAGCAGTGCGCCATGCAGCATAAGTGGTGCACTGCTTGCCAGGACAACACATTTTGAATTCTGCCAAGTAACGAAGCTTCTTGACTCGTTTAAATTTAGGAAACGCACTTCACTTGCCAACCGGTTGCTGTGGCGAACGGTCGAATCGTCGGTAGATTCGGGAAATTCTGCTGGTTTTTGTGAGAGTGATCGCTAATTTTTTGTGCTTCCGCTTTATCGAAGGTGAACTTTGATCCCTTAAATATAAAGCGAGTATATACAACGAATATTGGGCATATGGCCGACGACTGTCAGTGCCACACACAGTTGAGGTAAACAGAGTTCATTAAATTAGACTTAATTGCAAGCATCATTCGGCATCCGCTGTGCGTTGTTTCTAGCTTCTTCTTGACTTTTGTTATTCTTTACTTAAGGACAAAATATCCGTTGTTTTATCCGCTGTTTTATCCAAAATAAACACAGACGACAAAGAGACACAGTGAGAGTGGGGTCAATGCGAGCGAATGATTTATTTAGGCAGCTCATAAATGTATGTCCTGCTTTTTATGCCGCACATTTCAAGGCGATTTGCTTATATATTTTGTATTACTTCTCCCCCAATGGCGCTGTCAAAGGCATCATCGTCGCTCCATCCTTCTGTCCTGTGGGGATTTATGAATCTGGTCAATCCTTTCGCTGTTCACACCCCACCCCTAACGGCTCTAAAATATAGCTAGTCCCTTTTCTAATTTCACATTTCGCTGTCCGTCGCATCTCTGGGTTGTCCCTCGTATTGCGTATACGCCGTGTGGACTGCGGTTGTTTGTGCCTTGTAGTTGATTTCATGCTGCGGTTTCTGATTCAATTAGCAGCCTCAGCATGTCCTGTGAACTGCTGCGTGGTCCTTGTGTCCTCTGTGTCCTGTGTGTTCTGTCGTCTGCACATCCTGCTGGCATATGTTACAGTTACAGCCCAGCTTAACGCTAAGACCCCAATACAATATTTCCCCGCAACGACCGGCGATTGTGTAACGAAACAATTGCAATCGCCAAAGACAAATGAGCCAACTAGCAGCAGCAGCAGCCACAAAGTAACCACCACTTTGCCCACCCCATTTCCTTCACTGACTTCAAGATGTATTTGCATCTGACTTATGTCTTGTGGAGTGACTCAATAATAAATAGACGCTGAAAGAGTTTAAAGAACTTAAAGAACAAAGTAAATCAAGTGCTTTTTTTTTGTTATTTTATAAATATATTCATTTATTTAAGCCATGAGCCGAGGGCCTATGCTGTTATGGTCCTTAATCCTCAGTAAGATCTTAAATTAGAGCTAATTGTTAGCTATAGATAAATAAATTAATGAATATACAAATATTTGTGGCCAACTATACAAAATTGTTCAAAGATTTCAACGTTCTAGCACAACTTAAGCTCCAATTAAATTGATACTGCAGTGTCCTTGGCTAAACTTTTATATTATTTAAAGATTCCCAAAGTGTAGCATGCATTATTTAAAGAATGTTTTGTCATTACTCCTCAACCCTTTAAGAATCTCTATAATATATCTTTGATATATCTTTATCCTAAATAACCCCGCTTCCACCAAAATATCTGGGTATCAGTGGGAAGAGCTCATTAGTTAGTGGTCGTGCTTACACTGCTGCAAAATAAACACACACAAGTAATCGCAGGACTTGCGATGGGTCAAAGGGCGCTAAATGGTAGCGAGTCGGAAAACGGGGAAAACGGAAAAGGGAAATGGGCAAAAGAGGGGTGGGAAAACAGGGCAGCACTTTGTGTGCATGACAGCTAACACCCAACAACGACTGTGACCGCAAATACACCGATGACAGGTTCTCATTAAAGGACTTACAAGTGTCGCCATGTACCGCCAAAATGTAAACTGCTGTTTTTCACTTATCTAATGACCAGCCACCGCAGTGGTCGAAAGGTAAAATGACAATTTTCGGAAAATAACAGAAAGAGAAATGCATCGAGAAAAGAAATTAATGATGTATAGATAAGAAAAAGGGAATTAATCTTTTATAAACTTAAGATAAAGTGAAGGTGGGTATACACTTAATTTTATAAAAATAAAAATTTAAAAGAGCATAAATACTAAAGAGTTTCAAGGACTGCAGGACTGATTCACCGCTTTTAGATTCATTTTAATTTGTATTGTAATTGTTAATCAAAATTTTTCGATGTCTCAAGAAACATCTATCGGATTTAGTTTATTTTGACCTTTATATATTATCCCTGTTATTTTCTAATTTTCGAGGAACAAATTCTTATAAAAAAGAAAGGAAAAAGATGCTAACTTCGGGAAGCAATGTTTTTTACCCTTGAACATTGATCAATCAAATCATCATTACTCAGCCAAAAATACTTTAATTTCACTTCGGAAAGCTTTCCTATGTTAGTTTTTGCTAGGCTAATAAGTCTGCATACTCAGTAAAAACTTTAAATTTTCACAAATTTTAAAAATTTTAACGATGTAACACACCTTTCCTTTTTTTTAAATGGCTAAATGGATTCAGCTGTTGATGCAGATCAAGAATATATATGATTTATAGGGCCGGAAATAACTTTTTCGTTTAATACCCTGCAAAGGTATAAATATACTTTTTGATAAATATTTTTTTTTTTAATAAATAGGCAACATTCCATTTGATATCCACTTTAATCTACACTTTAAGGAGACTTTATCGTCCTCAAAAGGCTTTCCCCAATTTGAAATTTCTCCTTTTGGAGTTGTCATCCGATAAGCCCAAAAATAAATTATGACTGATTTTGGGTGGGAAAAGCAAGCCCCAAAAACCAGTTTGCATATGGCATATGCTTTTGTTCTGAAGCTGCTTATATGGCCTTTGGAAACATCCCTCTCTCTAGAGGAAAACCCCATGGAAAAGCTATGAAAAGCCATGGGCTCTTAGAGTGACCGCTTCGACTAATGAAGCGGCGAGTGTCTCTGTTTGTTCTCTGTTTTCTGTTCTTTATTTTTGTTTTTGGTCGAGAAAAATGTGCGGGAAAATGGGATCTCAAGTGTCGTGCCATTAGCTTGTTTTTCGGCACTTTTACAACATAATTTGGACTGGGGGTAGGCCTTGGATCATGGTTTATGATTCACATTGAAGTTACTTGCGCCACTACACTAAGTTCAGCATTTTATTGCAGTCGACTTCGGGGCGCATATTAAATTTTTATGCCGACCCCAGAACAGTAGACACCAAAAAGTGAAATAACAACAACAAAAAACAGCGGAAAACAAAAAGAAAATGACACCGAATGAAAAAATATACATGGAAATTGGATTCCATTTCAGTGACTACTATTCTCCTTTGTCCAGTGTACACTCGTACCAAAGGTTAGAATAGCTATAAATTAACCATATATCTAATGTACAGGCTTCACTCGAAAAGGTGAACTAATAGAAATATATCTCAAGAACTTTACAGTAAAAATATAATTACCCATTGTGTTTTAAAGCGACATTATTGTATTAATTTGAATGGATTTCAGATCGTTTTTATGGGTCTGAAAGTATTTAATTAATTATATTATTATTTATTTATTATACTTTCGGCCAGTATTTATATGTGTTTTTTAATTCCATTACATGTTTCCTTGACTTTTGGCTCTTATTTATTTATAAGTTTATTGTTATACGTAGATTATGGTAATAAGTTAGTTAGCTGCCACTTTCAAAAATG